GGAGGGAAACATGCAGAAGAGATTGTGGCATGTGAGCGAGCCCCATAGGGGTGCTTTCTTTCTCTCTCTGTCTTTCTTCCTGCTCTCTCTCTCTCTTTCCATCCCTCCCTCCCTCCTCTCTCCCTCTCCTCTCTCTCCTCACTCTCTCTCTCTCTCTGTCTTTCCTTCCCTCCCTCCCTCCTCTCTCCCTCTCCTCTTTCTCTCTCTCTCTCTCTCTCTGGCAAGCACATGCACCCTCTAGCAAACTTAAAGATAAAGCAGAGTCTAGAACGAGGAGCTGACCATGTGGGAACTAGGACTCCATTCCAGTCCAGAGTGTCTTGCGGAGACTCCTGTCCCCGGGGAAGACAATGGGTGGGAAGATTGGTTCATGGACATGCACATTTACATAGAGAAAAGGACTGGGAGACAAAGAACTAAGACATCGGTAATGGAGTTTTCAGAGCAAGGGGTGTGCAAACACTTTGAAGTTAGACCTTGAGGTTAGACCTGGTTTAAATCCCACACATGGTGTTCTCTAGGCTACTTAACAACTTAAACCTTAGTTTCATTTTCTGTGTTATAATTTCCTGTTCAGTACAGAGAGGAAAAAGCAATGGATCAGTGTTTCAAAGATTTCCGGGGACCAGCAGTTAGCATAATGACTGTGTCGCAGGACTCCCATGTAGTTGACCACGGTTCGCATCCTGGACCTGGTGGCTTAAAACACGCCGGGCGCGCGCGCGCGTGTGTGTGTGTGTGTGTGTGTGTGTGTGCCCAAGATCCCGAGAGGAGAATGGAGGAGAAGGGATTGTGGCGTGGCCATCCCCCCTGGAGGGTGATTTCTTGCTTTCTGTCTCTCTGTCTCTCTCTGTCTGTCTGGTGAGCGCACTCGCCCTATAGCGAAAAACCTCTCCAAAAAAAACCATTCCCAGTCACACCCTGCCCCCCCCCCCTTTAACTGGCTAAGTGACCTCAGGGCCTTCTCCCTCAGGCACTTGATTTTCTTATGTGTGGTTGGGGGGAACTTCGGCCCTGCCACTCTACAGGAGGTTCTCAGAACCAGAAATGCTGAGTCATGGTGCACTGCCATGAAGCTGGATGCCCGAAGATCTGCCCTGCTGACTCCCAATGGACGTCCAATGGTATCAAGACAGCCCTTCCATGATACTTGGCCACTTACAACGATCATTTTCCAAACACGCTGTGTCTCTTATGTTTGTAAATTCCCTTGTAACTTTGGATGTTTCTCCTTCACCCCAACATGCCTCGGACCCATTTATTTATTCAACAGAGAGATGGTTAGTTCAAGCCTAGACTCTGAAGTTAGGCCTGGGTTTCAATTTACCTTCCCACCTATGAACCTACGATGTTCTTCAGGCCACTTAACATCTCTAAGCCTCATTTTCTCCGTCCATGAGACGGGGCTAATCCTACCTCCTCATGTGCGGTCTTGGTGAGATGCTGTACATGCAGAGCTTTGCGCAGTGTCTGGTAGCTAATCTGCACTTGTTCAATAATATTACTTACATATAAACAACTATGATTATGTAGTAAGAGCAAAACCATAATTTTGTAATGAATAAAATTGGGATTTTTGAACCTATGTAGAGTTCTATAAGTCTATCACATACTCTGAAAAGAGAACTTTTTGGTTTTCCTAAGCACACTCCAGGCTTTGGGTCTGTATTCATAGAATTTGGCAGGCAAGGTCACCTTCAGCCTCTTCTTTTATTACTTGCTTTTATAGATTCAGATCCAATCTCCTCTCCACTTTAATCTTTCCAAATCTCCAAGACCCCGATCTTTTTTATCTCTCTGCCAAGCTTAACATTAAAATGGGCCGCTCAGCTTCGGCCAGGCAGCACTGTCGTATTTCAGGAGCTCTGATCTGTCAGCTCTGCTAGAAGCTTAGTCCATTGTTGCTTAATAATAATACCTTCTACTGGGATCGTACTTCAGATTTTTTTCAAAGTATTGCATCTGCCGTTGCATTTTATCACCCCAGCAGTCTTGTAGAGTGGGCAGGGCGGGTCTTGTCATTCTTCTCGGTGGCAGCACAGTTCCCGAAATGGGTTTCGCAGAACTTGGTGCCATTTGCAGGTCAAACAAGTGTAGAAGATGCTGGAATAAGCACAGCTCAATAGGCTTTTCAGGTTTTTAATGCAATGTGCCATATGATTCTTCAAGAGCTAGATGCAATGCTTCCCAAGTTTTTTTTCCACCAGAGTCCTTTTTTTTTTGAGAGGTTTTTGCTATAGGACATGTGCGCTCACCAGACAGAGAGAGACAGAGAGACAGAAAGTGAGAAATCACCCCCTCAGGGGGGTGGCCCCGTCACAATCCCCTCTCCTCCATTCTCCTCTCGGGATCTTGGGCACGCACGCACATGCGCCCGGCATGAGTTCCAAGCCACCAGGTCCGGGACGCAAACCGTGGTTGACTACATGGGAGTCCAGCAACACAGCCATTACACTAACTGCTGGACCCTTCCACCAGATTCCTTTTTTTTCTTAGAATATTCTATAGCACTAGTGCTCCATGGAGCCTACCTTGGAAAACACTCACGGAGGTGGTACCAAAAAGGGTTTGGGAGTGAGGCAAGGCGCGAGTCAAATGTACACTGCCACCTGCCAGCTGAGCGATCCAGTGCGAGGTTCTCAATCTCTCTGATCCTGTTTGCTTACCTATAAAATGGGGGTGGTAATAGAGCTGTACGAATTAAAATAGTAAAGTGCTTAGCAAGAGGCCTAGCAATGAGACATCCGATCTTCTTTAGCTTTTATTTCTACTCCCTTCCTCCATGTTTTCTGGGAGAGAAATGAACCTCAGGAGGGCTGATTTTCCAACATTACACAGATGTTTTGTGGCAGGGCTCAGTTTTCCGCTCAAGGCTCTTGGCAGTACATGGGCAGTTGTTCTACTCGGCAGTCTTGTCCCTTCCTTTCTTTCTCTTCCCCTTACCTCTGCTAGTCTTCCTTGGGGTTCAAGAAATAGGCACCTGGGACCAGGAGTTAGCGTAATGGCTATGTCGCTGGACTCCCATGTAGTCAACCGTGGTTGGCGTCCTGGACCCGGTGGCTTAAAACTCACGCCGGGCGCGTGTGCGTAGGTGCCCAAGATCCCGAGAGGAGAATGAAGGAGAAGGGATTGTGGCATGGCCATCCCCCCTGGGGGGTGATTTCTCGCTTTCTGTCTCTCTGTCTCTCTCTGTCTGTCTGGTGAGCACACGCACCCTATAGCAAAAATAACCTCTCCAAAAAAATAAAAGAAATAGACACCTCTAGCAGGGTCCCCACACTGTGATCCACCGTGACCTCAGTTAGCCCAGATCACAGGCACGTGCCCGAAGTGCTCAGGGATGTCCCAGGAAGTAAACCCAGGACCTTCCCACGTGCGTTCGGTCCCATTGCTGCTGCTCTACTGCCTGGCCTCCGTCCTCTGGGTTCTAATTCCATTTCCTCTGCCGGATGTCGGGGATTTTGTGAGCCTCAAGTGTAAATATAAATGAAAGTGCTCAGCAAGCTGCTATGAGAATCTGAACTATCTTAACCTGCATCACTCCAGGGCTCTTCACAGAACTGGCTCCGGCAGGCAGCCTGCCCTGCCACCCTTCAGCCCCTCCTGGGGACCCCACTTCTTCCTGTTAGGACACTGTCCCACCTTGATAGTAACCTGGCGCTGTTGTCTCACATTTGCCAGCTTGAGAACTCTGCAAGTGACAGTGCCTAGGACGCCATTGCAGATTCCATGGGAGCAAGCTCAGGGCCCACACACAGTAGGTGCTTGATTAAACATTTGTATTGGGCACGAGCCGTCCAGCTCCCATGCCCTTGCATGGGGAATGCATGACTTGCTAGGGAAGGCTGGCCGTTTAGCTTTTCATCTCCCTCCCTGGTCAAAGCCAATATAGGAAGGACTGATGCAGCCCCAGCCCCGGAGATCTCCGGCCTTGCAGACATGGTACCTTTGCAGACACAAATCAGGAAGCCAGAATACGGCTTGTTTTAGAGATCAATCAGCTCTCCCAGGTCAAGCTAAGGCAGGGCTGGTGCTGGGGAATCCAGGCCAGGAGGCCCTCCTTGCCTCAAACAGCACTGATCTTCCCTACTCTTCCCCTCCCACAGCAAGCTCACCCTCTGCACAAGAGTCTGGCTTCTTTCCCCTTTCAGCTGTGTCAACATCCACCCGTGCCTCGGGTCTCTGCTGAGGCGTGATGCCATCCCTTGGGCAGTGCCCCTGGGACACCAGCAGGGTGCTGAGCTTGGAGGGCCCTGCTAAGGTGCTGGAGCACCTCTTTCCTGAACATCACTCACATCCTAGTTCTTAACTTCTGACTTGTGATATTGCAAGGGGTGCTGAAAATGCAGACAGCACACACCCTTGCAAACATGACTGGCTTGGGTGAGAGGACATCTGGGTTGTCCCAGACTCCATCGTCTTCTAGAGACACCTCTGCCTGCTTCTGAGTCCCACAGGGTGAGCCCCTTCTGAGCTGTTGTCGCATCCTGGGCTTTCTTGTTAGAGGAGTTGCTACATGATAATGTTGTCACTTGCTTGCTGGGCACAGTGCCACTGACTTTAGCAGGCAGACAACTCACCTGGCTCTTGTCATGTGGATGGGAAACGTTTCCGGGGCAAGAACTCTTCGTGGTCATGTTCGTAACCCCCACATCTGACACAGTGCATTGTGAATGAATGAATGAGTGGTAGCACCCGGCAAGAGGGACTTCCAGAGAGGACGAGGGGTCCCTGTGGGGGCCTGTCAGAAAGCAGTGAATTCCTGATGGGGAGCAGAGGGGCGTGCATCTCTGCTGTAGGGGTCTGGTGTCCAGGAAGTCGCCTGGTGGACTTTGTTCATCCACTGAGTCAGGCAAGGTGGGCCTTAGTCGTTGCCCGGGGCCCCTCATCGTGGTGTTCTCAGGGCCATGGCCATGACCTCCTGCTCTCCCTCTCTCTGCCTCCAGAGCCTACTCTGCTGCTGGAACCGCGGCAGCTGCTGCCCAGCCACTGTCAGGAAGATGAGCGGCTGCGGGAGGAAGGCCTTGACCCTGCTGAGCAGCGTCTTTGCTGTCTGCGGCCTGGGTCTCCTGGGCATCGCCGTCAGCACCGACTACTGGCTGTACCTGGAGGAGGGAGTGATCCTGCCCCAGAACCAGAGTACTGAGATCAAGATGTCCCTGCACTCGGGACTCTGGCGGGTCTGCTTCCTTGCAGGTGAGAGCCCTGGGGCTGGGGTCAGCCCTTACCCCCGGGAAACCTGCCCCAAGAGGTCTCTCCTTGGCAAGATATGCCTGGGACATTCTGGAAGGAGGCAGACTGCCCCAGATGGCCCCCTTAAACTCTAAGCGGTGCTCTCTCCAGCAACCAGGACCCGTTCTAAACTCAAGCCCTGACTGGGGATGTCTCATTGAGCTAGACTTCTCTCCTGAAAGACGAATGTCACCACATCTTTCCCATCCTCTGCCTCCCAGGGCTGAATGAGAATGACACGGCACGGGTCTCCGATGTGCTTGCATGCCATAGCGCGAACAACTACTGAGCTCGTGTAATCCTCCCAACAGCACTGCAAGGCAGGCCATGTTACTCTGCACTTTGCAAATGAGGAAATGAAGGTTTGGGAGGCAAAAGCACTTCAACTCAGCTTCACCTGTACCCTCTAGTTTATAGCATAGCAAATACTTAGGTTGCCTTATTCCTCCATCCATGAAATGGCACAGATAAAACACACACACAGGTCCTTCCAGCCTCATAGGATGGTATAGGACCTTTGTTTAGGAATTATTTATTTAATTTTATTAATTATTATTATTAATTTGCTAGAGGGCTCATGTGCTCATGAAAGAGAGAGAGAGCAAGCTGCCAGGTCCAGGACTTGAACCACAGTCAGCCATATGGGAATCTAGTGCCTTAGCCACCATGCCACCTACTGGCCCCAGATGGTATAGGATTTGATCCTGCCTGTCTGGGCTTCCCTTTCACTCACTTAGGGCTTCTCTGAAACTCTGGAGTTCCTACTCTAGGAGGTCTGTCCTCCATCCCTTTACCATCCCTAGGACCAGCCCGCACGAGGAAAGCATCTCATGTCAGTGGCTAGAGGCTGCAAGCCTGAGCTGGCCAAGATTGCCACAGTGTCATCATGGTATAGGATTTGATCCTGCCTGTCTGGGCTTCCCTTTCACTCACTTAGGGCTTCTCTGAAACTCTGGAGTTCCTACTCTAGGAGGTCTGTCCTCCATCCCTTTACCATCCCTAGGACCAGCCCGCACGAGGAAAGCATCTCATGTCAGTGGCTAGAGGCTGCAAGCCTGAGCTGGCCAAGATTGCCACAGTGTCATCTCTGGGTCCTCTTGGATAGGACCCTATAACCTGTGTGTGTGGAGGGGGGGGTGTGTGTGGAAGAGACATGGCTTGGTTCTCACAGTTTTCTCCCCCAGCTTTATGGGCAGGGGTGGTGGTTGGCTGCCACAGGTACAGAGCAGCAGGGCTTGGCCTCCTGGTCACTTGTTGACTCTGATTTGGGAATGACATCCAACCCTGACGTCGTCTCCCATGGCTCCAGCCTGTGTGGCTTCAGTCTCGGACTAAATCAACAGAGCCTGAAATCACCAGATCTGGTTTCCAAAGTGGTTGACAAGGCTTTAGGGGTTCTACTTTGTGACACTGCCACCAGGGAATCTAAATCAGCCCCGGACCATCTTTAGCCCCTTCTGTCCAAAGGCATGAGGTAGCATCAAATGTCTATTCAGCATGGAGAGAGTGCAGGGCTGAGCTTTTTCCATGGACATCAATGCTTGGTCCATCCTCACAGAAGTGCTCCACGGAGAAAGGCGGTGATGTCAGAACATGCTCCCAACCCCCTGCTGTGGGTGACCAGCCAGGCACAGGACCTACTAAGGTTTGGATCCTGTCTGGGTTCAAAGACACAGTGGGCCAAAGATCCTAAAAGCATCTGAAATGCCATTTGAATGTACCAACTTCAAATCCGTTTTCAAGAAAGATCTGGAAATAGAATTGATTCTTGTCTCCACAGGTGAGGAGCGGGGACGCTGCTTCACCATAGAATATGTGATGCCCATGAACACCCAGATGACATCCGAGTCCACGGTCAACGTTCTAAGTAGGTGCCTCAGACTTTCCAACCTGGGCCACTGACTGGACAGAGAGGACGAAGACAGAGGGAAAGCCGGGGTGACCAATGGATTGTATTTCTCAGGAGCTAATGTCCTTCAGCTCAGCTGACTGTGTCAGCCTGAGTTCCTTAAGGCTCTGCAGATGAATTTTCTAGCAGTGGAATTTTCTAGTGCTGGAGTCACCCAAGTCTTGAGACCCAGGCAAGTGAGTGGGCATCCACACCAAGGGAACTGAACCCTCTGGATGCCAATAAAACTGACTTCATGGACTTGGCCTCAGCCAGAGTTGGTTCAGACCTTTAGAATGAACTTGCAATGCTGTGGTACAATTTAGATACTAAGCACTGGAGTTACCACAGTCACCACAGGTTTAAGGTCTTGGTCCCCCAACAAGACTGCCCCAACTTCACTAACGGCCACAAGTTCAGAGGTCCTCAGGTCACCTACACTTCTGACCAGCTGGTTACAAATTCAGGAGTACCCATGATTCCTCAGGTTCAAAACTTTGCTAGAACAACTTACAGAACTCAGGGAAGCAGGAACCTGACTTACCAGTACAGTTTTATAAAATTTACAAGTCAGGACCAGTCAAAGAGACATATAGGGCCAGAAATGAAAGGGTGCTGAGCTTCAGTCTCTTCTCTCATGGGATCGGTATCTGTCACCCCAGACACATTGATGTGTTCATCAACCAGGAAGCTCAACAGAGCTCTGGTGTCCAGAGTTTTTAGTGGGTTTCATTACATAGGCATGTCTGATTGAATTATTGGTCATGTGACGGATCTCAACCTCCAGGTGCCCTCTGCTCCCCAGAAGTCAGGCGCAAAAAAAACACTTGGTGGTCTTTCTAGCACCAATCCAGAGTCACTTCATTAGCACAAATTCAGATGTGGCAAGGGGCCCACCATGAATAACGTGAATTCCATTTTGGAAATTCCAAGGATTTAGAGGTTGTCTCTCAGGAACCAGGAACAGAGATCAAACTATTTATCATGTAACAACTGAACTGCTTCCCAGTGACCGTTCCCTGTACCACTCAGTGCCGTCGTTGTCCACGAAAATGGTGAATTTCCCCAGGAAAGGAAGCAAGATGGGGTGACCAGGTCCTTCCATGGCTGCCTGGCTGGCCGACAGCTGAGACTCTCGGGAAGGAAATAGTTTATATCTGGAGGAGAAGACAGAGGCCCTGACTATGTGGACACTTGAAGTCAGACCTTCCAGCCTCCCTCAGGGACAAAGGACTCGCTAGTTCTGGGAGGCCCCCAGGGCACCTAATGGAGAATAAACTTGGGGAACACATGCAGGCGTAGGGGTTTCAGGACCCATTGGTAGACACTGCCAGAATGGTGGGAGGGTGAACAAGTCACTGGAGGCTGACAGGCTGTCCTTTGTCCCCTTAATTAGAAATGATTCGCTCGGCCACTCCATTCCCTCTGGTCAGCCTGTTCTTCATGTTCATTGGGTTTATCCTGAGCAACATTGGCCACATCCGTCCCCACAGGACAATACTGGCCTTTGTCTCTGGCATCTTCTTTATCCTCTCAGGTAAGTTATGCTATTTTATTTTTGGGCACTCAGGACTTTTGATATTTAACTCCTAAACAGCTCTATGTTGCAAAGGCCTGGTCAGGGCTCTGAGTTAACCTCTGGCACTGGAAATAGGACAAGCTGAGTCAGTAATCTGGATAAAACGGGGTCAGAGCTAGAGGAGACTTCAGATGACCCCAGGGCTATCCATGACCTTCTAGAAGAGCATCAGAGGCTCCAGGCAAGGAGTGACTTGACAGGCTCACCCTGGGGCCACACTGGGATTAGAACACTGGGTTCTTTCCTCACTCCACACATCACCCCCCTTACTTTTTTATTTACTTAATTTTATTTATTAATTCATTTATTTTAATGTGACCATAGAGAGAGAGAGGAAGCGAAAAAGCAAGCTTCCAGATTCAGGACTTGAACTGTGGTCAGTCATGAGGGAATGTCCAGTGCTTTAACCACCAGCCACCTGCTGGTCCCTACCTTCTTTGGAAATAATGACGCAGCAACAGGAGTGACTTGGACCTTGTGTGAGGGGTCTTCCCCCAAAATCCATGAAAAATACTTATTTTAGAAAACAATATGCATGGATTTCAAAATTGTTGGCACCAAAATAAAGTCATACTTCAATTCCATTTTCCACAAACTTTTTCAAGTCCCCTCATATCTTAGGTGACCTAAACTGATCAATTAGGGAGGAAGGAACTGGAGGAAATGCTCAAATGGAAAATGGTGGGTGGAAAGCTTGAATAATGGATGGATGGATGGATGGATGGAAGGATGGATGGATGGAAGGAAGGAAAAACAGCCGTTGGACATTCTAATTGCCACCTGACTCTCAAGTCCTTTTAGGATCCTTTTCCCAACACTTTCCTGTCAGCAGAGCTTGGGAGCCAAGTGACATTCAGAATGTCCGATGCCCAAGAGCCATTCTTTCTCCTTCCATTCATCCATTCATCTGCCCATCCACAGACCCATCTATCCTTTAGTTTGTACATCTGTCCATGCCTGTGTGTCAGTCTGCCTGCCAACTCCTCTGCCACCCCTTCTACACCTACTAATCCATTTTTCCAACCTTCTGCCAATCAACCTAACACATTTACTGAGTACCTGCAATGTCATTAGCCCATCCTTTGCTAAGAGGTGTAGACCCAGAGTTAAGCTTGCGCTTTGTTTTTCCTTCTATGAACTTCACAACGGCCAAGGCTATTCCATAGCTTCAAGATACCTGAGGTTTCTCTGCAGGCTCAGAACTCCAGAATTAAGCGGGGGCACATGAAGTCATTTTATTTATTTTTAAGGTTGTTTTAATGATAACAATAAAGAGGTTCGTTTGGGACAGCAGTGATCCAAATCTGAGTTAAGTACAAAAGAAGATTGGAATCACACCTATTTTTCTTTAATATTCATCCTTGAAGTTGCTCTCCATTTCAGAAAATAATGTGAGTAGAATTAAAGCTGAACACTCACAGCAGAGTAATTAATTATGTTCTGATTCAGTTACAGCTGCTAACTGATGAGGTAGCCTGAGGCAGTCCCGTGCACAATGGCAGAGTTGGGGTGCACTGGCCTCCTCATCTACTGCTGCTGCCATCTGGGCAAACTCTTCCCCTCTCCTGCCTGAGGATCTGAGTGGCCACACCCTGTGATCGAGTGGGCTACCCAGGCCACAGCTACCACGGTAGACCCCACCAATGGGGATATGCACCACCCATCACTGGACACAGGGATTAGAGGCCCTGACCACCTCTGCCAAGGACACCATTTTAGTAAAAGCCACTTGCTAGCTCAGTGGTTTACACCCCTAGATCCCATTAGTGTCACCTGAGAAACTTTTAAGGCAACAGTGCCAAGGCCCCAGTCTAGGCCCAATGAACAGAATGTCCAAGGCAGGAGTTCAGGCATAGATGTGACAGTGTAGGCCTGGGATGAGAACTCCAACCCGTGGCTCAGGAGTTAAAAACTGAACTTTCTCTTATATGCTACCTTCTGCTATCTACTGGGTCATCAGAAAACTCATGACATTTCTCTGTTTTTCTATGTAAAATTGTGTCATGACTTTTCCGAAGACCTAATAGAAGGTGCTGGTCTAGACAGGGTCCTCAAGAGGAAAGCTCCTGCTCCCCTGAGAACGTCTTGCTTCCGTGAGGCTGACAGCTTTGTTCCTGAACCCCAGGGGAGGACACCACAGCAGTGAGCTCCTGGGCCTCTGTGCTGAGTGTCCCTGCCCTCCCCTGCCTCCCCCAGGTCTGTCGCTCGTGGTGGGCCTGGTGCTCTATATCTCCAGTATCAACGATGAGATGCTCAACAGGACCAAGGACGCGGAGACCTACTTCAACTACAAGTATGGGTGGTCGTTCGCCTTCGCCGCCATCTCCTTCCTTTTAACAGAGGTAAAGCCCAGGCACTGAGCCTCTGGGACAGGCTGGGTGGGGCCAGGCACCCTGCACCACCCACTCTCCTTCCCTTCCTCATCCCCCGTACGTGTCACACACACCCTTACCTGCCCGAGTCTCCTCCGTCCTGGAGGTGCCCAGGGCCGGCCCTGACCAGCTGCCTCCTCTGTTTTCCTCTCATTGCAGAGTGCTGGGGTGATGTCTGTGTACCTGTTCATGAAGAGGTACACTGCCGAGGACCTGTACAGGCCTCACCCCGGCTTCTACCGCCCTCGTCTGAGCAACTGCTCCGATTACTCAGGCCAGTTCCTGCACCCGGACGCCTGGGTCCGAGGCCGCAGCCCCTCCGACATCTCCAGCGACGCCTCCCTGCAGATGAACAGCAACTACCCAGCCTTGCTCAAGTGCCCTGAGTACGACCAGATGTCGTCTTCTCCCTGCTGAGCCTCGGCCACCTCTCTCCCTGGACTGGGGACAACCAGACAGCCCTCCCTGTCTCCCCTGCTGGTCCCTGAGCCCCAAGCCTGTGGTTGGCCGGCCAGGCCGCTCCATGCTTCACTGTTGTTACTTGACCGGTCCTTCCCCTTATTCCCCCAAGTAGCTCTCACTGTCCCCTGTGTGGGAGTGGGAGAGTCTGGAGTCAGGGGGTGAGCTGATTGGCTGAGAGCTGGTGAAGCCCCACCTCTGGAGTGCCAATCAAAGCAGTGGCTCTGGGAAGCAGCAGGTTGGCCCAGGCCAGAGGCTGGAGTTCTAGGTGAACATCGTTCCTGCACCGCCCACCCCAGGGCCCCAGGCCAAGGCCCACTCTGAGGTGCCAAGTTCCTCCCACAGACCCACCTGGACCCCTGTGCTTGCCAAGAAGCGTGATCCTCACGCTCATGATCTGGGCCATCGGGCCAAAAGGTGACTCAGTGTGGAGGTTCGGCTGCTCAGAAACGTCAGGCAGGCAGTATTCCTTCTGAAATCCTTATCCCTTCTCGTCAACCCTTCTCTCCATACCACGTGGGTCTGTGACCCCTCAACCCCAGGCTGTGTATCTGCCCTCCTCCTCCCACCAGAGCTCAGCTGGGGACCTGGGCCCTAAGGGGCTGTTAAGGGCCAAGGATATCTTATTATGTATGGCCCCTCGATAACACATTCGAAGGGGTCTTTAATGCCTTAACCCAAAGAAGGGATGCTGAGAGGATTTTTGAGTTTGTCTGGCCTGAGTTGTCATCACCAGGGACTCTTTACTGCCCTGGGGACATGGTCTCTGCTTAACAAGGGCAGTATTTGCAGACCAGGGCCCTAAAATCTAATCATGCACAGATTGTCTATACCACCTAAATAGAAGGCAGCTTTCAAAGTGGGTCTTGGACTGGATTTATGACACTGGGTGTGTTTCGAGCCTAAGCAGCCAGACCCAGAATGATGGACTCCTGAGGTCTGAACATTCAGGGGCTGCCCAGGTAGAATATGGAGCATCTGCTTCCTATTATGGGACCCACATGGAAAAATCAGATAGCTCCAGAAGACAAGGCAGCTTGAGGCCTGTCTCCTGGTGGGAAACAAGAGATGAGGAGGTTTGACACACTTTGCCCAAAGTCCTGGGAGTCCCTGGGAGCCAGTGTAAGCCAGGACCCCTTCGGTTCTCTGGGTGTCAGCTCTGCTTGTACATTTTGGGGTTTGAGATCTTGAGCAGCAAAACAACGCCGAGCTCTCTCTGCTGTGTGATTTTGCTATGCCAGCTGTTCCTACTCTCTTGAAGATACCCCTAGGTTCTTTTTTCTTTGCTTTTTAATTTTGCCAGAAGGCGTGTGTGCCCGCCACAGAGAGACAGAGCCTAAGTGGGAAAACACCCACATGGAGGATGGCCACGCCACAATCCCTTCTCCATCCTCTAGATTTGGGGGACACACATACACACAACTGGTATGTTTTTTTTAAGCTGCCAGGTCTGGGACGTGAACCACGCAGTCAGCCATATGGGACCCGCTGCCTTAACCATCACTCCACAGCTTGGTCCAGGTTCTGAAAAGGCAAAGCCACAGTGGGCCACACTTGGGCTCCAGCAGGTGGGTCAGGAAGCCGCACACCTGATGTACGTGACCTTCAGGAAGGTACTATAGTAGTCAGCTTGTGCTTGCAACAAACTGTTAGAGACGCGGGCGCGGCCGTGTGCTTAAAAACACATGTTTATTTCCTCGTAGTTCTGGGGCCAAAGTCAAAGATCTCGGAGGCCCCTCTCCCGAGCCTGCAGATGGCACTGGCTCACTGTGTCCACACGTGGTCTCTGTGCCTGTGTGCCCCTGGCGTCCCTCCCTTCCTCTAAGGACACTGGTCATATTGGATTAGGGTCAGTAGGCAAGTCATTCCTTTTTTTTTTTTTTTTTTTAATGCCAGAAGGCATGTGCGTTCACCAGCGAGGACAGCAGGAAAGACATGGTAAGCCTCTTCCTCCATTTCTCTTCCTGCCGGGATTCAGGTCACGCACACACACACACCCAGCATGTTTTCCGAGCTGCAGGGGCTGGGAATCCACCTGCAGTGGGCTGTGTGAGATCCGGTTCCCTTAATTACGAGGCTACAGGCTGGCCCAATTACTTTTCATTTAATCACCTCTTTAAGGGCCCTCTCTCCAAATATAGTCATGTTCTCAGGCACAAGGGAGGGGATGTTAGGGCTTCAGCATGAAGCTGGTGGGGGAGGCACACAAATTAGCCCACCATAGGCGGGTTGTTCGGTAACTGGATTTTTCCATTTTGTTTCCAATGCAATCGAGGAAAAAATTGGAGAAGCTAGTTCTGAGCCTCATCCAGTCACTAACTCGCCATCCCAGCCAGCCCCTTCTCCTCCGAGGGGTGTCACCTAGATTGTTTCCAAGCCCACCCCCACACCCACTCCCCACCTGATGATTCAGTCTCATAGAAAGCTCCATGTTGCCCTTAGATATGACTTTTCAACCCTGGCCTGTGAACTGACTGCAACCACAGAGGCCCCAACTCCTCGCCCAACCACTACTGTACTCTTAGGTTATTTTTCAAGAAGAATACACAAACCACGTTCTCCCCAGAGCCAAGGGGTCTGTTCGTGAGCTTGGGGAGCATTAGGTAGTATTTCCAGGCAGGGCAGTAGTTTCAGTGTGCTCTACTCCACGTTTTGTCAATGTAATTAGTTCCTAAAATGCACTTTTCTCTCCCTAAAACACGCTTTCTCTGTCGCTGTGCCCGGCTTGTTAGTGTGCACGTGGAAAACAATAGAATCCGCTCCGAAATACAAGGCCGATGGTTGACCGTGACATCATTAACATGGTCCTTTCCAGCCTGGGCGCCGGGCGGCTGAGTGAAGGCTCTCACCTGGGAGCTGTGGGCTTAGCTTGTCTTAGGAATGGGGTCCAGGCCACTTTCTTTCTCATGGGGGTGGGTGAACACGCTCATAGTTATGCCAACCTCATCGGTTCCTTCCGGTCTGTAAATGAATCTCCGAACTGAGGTCTGTCTGCAGCCTCTCCTCAAAAGATTTTTATCAAACATTAAAGTGTTTATAAACTCAACTCAGAAATCCTCAGTTAGAGCCTCTTTCCTCAATGCACTCTCTCTGATCTTGTTTTCTTACTACTATAAAAAAAATACTTTGGTGGTGGCGCTTTCTTTTCTTTTTCTGGTCACTCTCCCAGGGGGAGGGGTAGGCTCACGCCCAGAGTCAGTCGTGGACTATGCGGTAAAGTGACTCAGGGTTACCAGGCACCAAGAAGAAGCGATGCTGATGTTGGTCCCCTCCCAGCAGAACTCACCACCCACCTCCTAGTTCCACAGGTCAGTGACACTCCGCCCAGTACCCCCAGGCCACCAAAGGCATAGTCTGTCACCAGGGCTGCATGCAGAGTTCAGAGGGATGAACTGGGGACAAAAATCCACTTGTGCACAGCCTCGTCAGTGCTGACCTGAGGACCACATGCGGGGGAGCCCCTCCTTCTCCCTAGATAAAAGTGGCCCAGTAGGGTTCTCCAGAGAAACAAAATCAATAGGGTGTATATATATAGAAAAAGATCCTTTTTAAGGAACTGGCTCATGCATGTGTGGAGGCTTGACAAGTCCAACTACAATCTGAGGGGGAGGCCGGCCGTTCGAGCGCAAAGACCAGCTTCTGGCAGAGATCCTTGCTCAGGCAAGGCCAGTCTTTGTTTTCCCCATTTTTTAGATTTTCACCATTTCAACGTAGTTTAGATGGGAGATCAGTGATGAGAAGCCCCCAATGAAGAACAAGATTATGCGTGACAGGGTGCCAGTGGGGGGGTAGGACAGTGGCACTGTGGTAAAACACGACACTTCCCACACGGGAGGGTTCTTGGCTTGTGTCCAGAGAACTCCCTGTGTGTGCCCAGGGTGGATGTGCTCGTGACTCTGGGCTGTTTGAAGCTGGGGCTGGAGTGAGGCGTCAAGGCCGCTCTCTCTCTCTCTCTCTCTCTCTCTCTCTCTCTCTCTGGTGCTCTTGCTCATGGAAAAAATAAATACTTTTATTTAAAAAAAAATAATAGGGGACAGATGTCCGGAGTAGCAGCAGAGGGAGAGGAGTGAGGGGAGGAAGGTGGAATTCCACTGCCCGTTCCTTTTTCTCAGCCACACGGGAGGGGAGAAGGGAGCTCCCGAGCCATCATCCATTCCCCTCATTGTGGGTGAGGCCTGTGGTTAGCCACTTCCTGGGGCTCAAGAGCAGGGCCACGGCCAAGAGGCACCACTTTGACACTAAAGAGCAGAAAGATGCTTCTGGCTGAGAGGTATCCAAGATGTGGCTGTCTGTGGTCAGCCCCCACTGCCCCAGCCACTCCCTCTGGTCAAGCCAATGGCATGCTTAGAGCCTCAGTTTCTCCATCCACAAGATGAGCCACATCCTTCCACTCTCCTCCCTGGGTGGTGGTTTTGTCACCATCACTGTGACCCCAGCTTAGGCTTGTCACTGACTCAGCCCTGCCTTCCCAACCCTGTATCCTGCTGTTACTGAGCATGGGGTTTCTTCCTACCCCTCTTGCTCTGTCCTCACCAGCAGGAGGAGCAATTTGGGCGAGTAGCCATCACCTTATTGCCCACTGCCCCTGGCTGTGAGATCCTCCCTTGGCCAAGCTGGCAGAGATGGGGTTGTGGCTTCCACACCGCAGTCAGCACGACACGTGCACCAGCTAGTCCAGCCTCCCTCAGGCTGCTTCAAACATGGAGCATTTCTTATGTCACATCAGGAAGACGGGGGCAAGTGTGGGTGCCAGGATCGGTCCAGTGATGTCATCAAGAACCCAAATCCTTGTCGGTTCTTGGTTGTGCTATCCCAGGGCTCATTTTATCCTCGAGTTGGTAGCAAGATGGCGGGAGCAATTCCAAGGATCGCCTCAAGATGCAACAACGGAAGGAAGGGAAGAATTTCTTCCTGTCTTAGGAACAAAGGCAAATTTTGTTAAAGGCAACCCCAGCAGACTGTACCGCAAGTCTCATTGGCCAAAACTGGCTCCTATGCCCGTTCCTAAATCACCATTGGCAAGAGGAGCAGGGTGGCCAGTAGTTAGGTTATCTGATACCTAACTACCCCCAACTTAGTAACTTAAGACAGTAACAATTGAGGCCACCAGGTGGCATAGTGGTTAAGGCTCTGGACCCCCACGTGGCCAACCACAGTTTGAGTCTCGGACTGAGTGGCTTGAAAATCATACAAGGTGTGTGGGTGTGCATGCCCAAAATCCCAAGAGGAGAACCAAGGAGAAGGGATTGCAGCATGGCCATCCCTCCTGGAGGGCGATTTCTCACTTTCTGTCTCATTGTCTCTCTCTCTCTCTCTGGTCATGCCCCCATGGCAAAAACCTGGGGGGTGGGGGGGGAGAAACAATAACGATGTTTATTTCTGACAGTTACAGAGGCTGACAGGGCTCAGCAGGATGGTTCTCTCTCTCAGGCAGTGACTGTCATTTCAAAGGCCTCTCCCATCACTTGTCTGGCAGCTGATGCCCACCGGGACTTTAGCCGAGGTTGCCACCTGGAACACCTCTGCACAGTTACTATGAGTCTGGTCTTCCTCACAGAAGGACAGCCAGGTTCCAAGAGTGAGTGTCCCAGGAGTCAGACAGAAGTTGCCCTGCCTTTTTTGAAGTCGCCTTGGAAGTTACCTCATGTAATTCCTATCATAATCACCAGATCAGCTGGATTTAAGGGGGAGAAACATGAAATCCCATTATCTGAGATGTAGGGAGTGTCCAGGTCCCACGGAGGAACACTTGAGAGATGGGATCGAGCAGGAGGGAGACCGGAGTGAGGGAGGAAGGCAGAATTCCACTGCCTATTCCTTTCTCTCGGCCACAGAGGACAGGAGAAGGGGAGCTCCCCAAGCAACCTCTGCTCCCCACCTTCCAGAGGTATGACCACCTTTGGAAAATCGAACCCGCCACAGCATAACTGGCTTTAACCAGTTGTTTTCCCAGCCTAGAGACTCTGGTATTGTTCTGGGGGGAACAAGGGAGCTGAGAGTCTGTTTCTCTAACAAGTTTCCAGGTGACACTGAGGCTGTGACATGCTCTGGGCTCAGGATTGCAGGTGTCTGGCATTTTTTTAAATAATTATTTTATTTAACTTTATTTATTTTTAATTTAACCAGAGAGGGGCAGAGTGAGAGAGAGAGGGAAAGTGAGAAAGCAAGCTTTCAGGTGTGGGACTCGAACTGTGGTTAGCCATGTGGGAGTCCAGCACCCATAACCACAATGCTAGCTGCTGGCCCTCCGACTTTTTTAAAAGCTTTCTGGGTGCTCCTAATGGAAGGCAGGGCTGAGAACCACTGGCTTAGACCTACTGGGTTTTATCAT